CAAAAAACACGCCCCAATAGAAGCAACACATACATGGCATTGGTACATTTTCGAAACCAAACCTAAGGCCTCAGGATGATTTAAGACTGAACATGGTCTTTCTATGTTTTGTAAACATTGAAGACAAAATTAAAAACAATTAAAAATTAAAAAAGCATACCCCGATCTTTTTCTCCCGATTCCGATCTTTTGAAAATCACGTGATCGGCTCCGATCCCCGATCACGTGATCGGATCGGGACATCTCTACCAGGGAAAACTGCCAACTATTCCTGTGTTATTTATGCCATCTTTTTTTAGAATATAAAACACTCAAGCACAATATTAGTTGACATAAAGACTCACACACAAATATAACCTCTTAATTATCAATTTATGAACCACTAACAGTCTGTTGTGGCGGTGTCTGTATGTGATAAGACGCTCAATCTTTTTATGATGTTGTGTCCGGTGGGTTTCTGGGGTAAACCCTTTAAAGAAAATGCAGCAACCACTTGCCAGATTGTGAGCACAAATCAAGAGAAAGCTACAAAAACGTAAAGCATCAAAGCTCACCCAAAGACTAAATGTGAATCATGGGTCGGTCATGGTGTCATAGGGTCAGTTTTCATTATTGTGTTTTCAAACCCAAGCCAACATGTTCATTTTGCTTTTAAACCTTTAAAAAGTGATATTTTCAGACACATGGGAATAACTGTGGCGAATCAGAAAAATAAAAAGCTTTTTAAACATTAAAGCATGAAGTACTGATATTAACTTGAAAATAAGCAAAATTGGGCTCCTTTAAAGGACAGGTTTGATACGGTTAGCTTAGATTTACACACATACTGTTAACACTGGTGTATATTTCCATTAGTTCTTGGCACACAGCTTCATCTGAACATCTGGGCTATAACTCTCAAAGAATAGTTTCACTGGGGTTTGAACACAGGACCTTCTGCGTGTAAAGCAGACGTGATAACCACTACACTATGAAACCTCTGCCTCTCCTCTCTTATCAGATGTCGTCATGTGTTTGTTTGGGTTCTTACTCACTGTCTACAGATATACGAGATAGGTGGATTAGGGATAAACTGAGCAGGAACGAACATAAGTGATTGAGAAAATAGAGCTTTTTGAACATTAAAGCATGGAGACATGTCCCAGTAGAGACACTCCATGAACATGGACATCATTTGTCCTCTTTAATATGACACAGCGAACTGTTGATCTTGAGCTCAGGTGATGTGAACACAAAAAGACGTTTGCAAATAATGCTAACTTCTAGATATGCAGGCAGTACATGAACACATTCAACATTTTTAATTTCCCTGTTTATTTCATGTTTTTTTACCATGTAGCTACATCTGTCTGGTATAGTATTTCAGCATAGGCAAGGCAAGGCAAGTTTATTTATATAGTACTTTTCAACACAAGGCAATTCAAAGTGCTTTACAAAGAATGAAAGACTTTAAGAAAATGGCATTTAAAATCAGTCATTAAAGAAGCATAGAATAGAGAGCTGATAGGGACCAGACACATGTTCATTTTAGTCATCAAGTTAGACGTGTTTTTCTCCCAGACATTTCAGGGAAATCGTGCGTGATAATCTTTACACTGACACGACAACAGTTACTGGCACAGTCACAGAGCAACACACACAGTGTCAGTGAGGCACTTTATTGTAAATGTTCTTGATGAAAAGGCTTCAATTTCAAGATGATATTTCTTTTTTCACAAATGGAAAGATCTTAGGAGTAAAAATGTGCCAAATAAAAAGGGAAAGACACAAACTAACCAGCAGTGTCTCGTTTGTCCCTGGCAGTCAGGTACTGCGATAAAAAGCCATCTGTCCTGGTTAAACAACCCCTCAGACTAATCACTCGTCAGATAAGGGGGGGGGGGGGGGGGGTGGAGGATTATGTAACTGCAAGTGAATAAAAATGGCCATAAGCCATAAGCTGTTTGCTTTGGTAACTGTGTTTTTAACAGTGCTCAACAAAAGGAAGTACTCTGTTGCTCTCTTTGGGTGTTTTTGTCTCTCATGCATCAGGTGAACCCTCTACTTCCTGCTTCACCTTCCTCCTTAAAAACCCAAAGTCAATTGCTTCTTTTCTAACATGGCGCTCTGCCATAAGCTCCAAGCACTCTTGATTAAGAGAGAAGCACTATCGATTTTATTTCCGACTGTTGCCAGATCCCAGATGACCATATAGTCTGAAAAAAAGAAAAACTGGCAGTACTTTCACAAAGGTTAGAAAGGACACTCTTTTTTACACGGTCCAATATCAAAGTTAGATTATTGTTTCTGGTCTATAAAAGTGAGAGCTTGGAGGATATAACATTTATTGCTCTAGTTTTAGTCGTATGTTGCTTTTAATTAAATGTGTCAGAGGGGAAACACATCCTCAAACCAGTTTATATTGTTATGACAAACTAAAGCAGTTCAGGTGGTAAATACAATAATTATTTGAAGACATGAATGGTTTCCATAGCCGCTTTCACTCCAAGTACTTTGCTGTAGCTACTTAGTTCCCAGCACTTAGTGCCCCCATGGAACTAAGGTTGCGTTCCGATAATCCAAAACCCAGCTTCTAAGTTCTAACCCTATCTCCTATTCCTTGACCTCTGTGTGAAACGTCACGGGGTTAAGGGATAGTGGATAGGAGAATTCAAAAGGATTTAGGAGAAGAGACTGCGGTGCTTTAGAGAATCCGACTGCACTTTCACTATCTGACGTCTTTATGATGCGCCAGCGGACGTCATTTTGTGCGTCTGCTGCTGTGGGGAAACTATGGAAACTACAACATGGATGTTTAATAAGAATGACGGACTCATCTAGAGACTCTGCACCGTGCTCTGATGCTGTTGCTTTATGCTTTATGAACAACAGAGAAACATATTCTTCATGACCAAAGTTGGAATTTAAATAAAAAATGAAAGTGAAACGTATGCTTGTCTCCCACATTAATACAAATGATCCCAATACGTATGATTGTATGAACTATGAAAATATCTTAAAATCAATACAAATGTATTTATTATAAACGTTAGTCCTTAACACCTATCACTGTGTATATCACCATTCAAACATCTTTTAAAAGTTGAACAAACCCCACACAGCTCAGTGAAATGTTGACTTTATTTGATAATTTCAGTAAAAACTAACGTTCATATTTCTGTTTTTGATTATAATACTAATGAACGTTCAAAACAAAGCACTTTGGCAACTTACCACATACGTTTTAAAATGCTTAATAAGCACCGTAACTTTCATTATATCATTTCTCCGTCATAATCGTTTGTGTCCGTGAACGGCCGACTGTTGTGTGACGTCAAATGCTGCGGCTGCAAGGCATTGTGGGGCAGCATTTTCTCCTCTCCATTCGGGGAGGGAGGTGTCCAGTGTGTCCTAAGCTAAAGGAGGTTATAAAGGAAGTTTGAAACCTCCTTTCCTTTAATTTAGAGAATTGGAACGGCACTTAACATGGCTGCCACTGACGTACTTCCGGGTAATTTCACTTGGTTAGGAAGGTTCCTAAGCTAAATGGACTATTGGAACGCAACCTAAGTACAGATCGCGTTCACACCGGAATAAGGATTAGGCAAATGAAGCTGCTGACGTCACTTCTTCTTCTTCTTCTGCTTTGGGTTTACTGGCAGGCTGCAAACAACTTCACGGCGTATACTGCCACCCGAAGTCCCCGGCCGGAAGTCCCCGGAGTTGGGGAATGGCTTCAGTAGAAAAGCTGCTGGGACTTCCCACAGCTTCTACTGAAGCCTTCCTGAGAAATCGCCAGAACGCCGACACCTCCTCATCTCCACCGCTCCCATGTTTTTTTTTGTGTTGCCATAAGTTAGTCTCTCTCCGTTGGTGCGCTGGGCTAATGCTAATAATGCTAATAATGCTAATACCAGCAAATACAATGGCGGCTTCAAAAAACCTTTCAGGGTTTTACGGGGCATGGTTTGCAATTCGCCCCGCCAATCAGAAATGTGTACTTTTTTCTCCCAGGATAGTCCCACCTCTCTAGCAGGCACCACAAATGGGGGTAAAAGTTCTCTGAACTAAGTTTTTTCATATATCTGTAGACAGTGAGTACGAACCCAAACAAAAACATAACGACATCTGATGAGAGAGGAGATACAGAGGTTTCATAGTGTAGTGGCTATCACGTCTGCTTTACACGCAGAAGGTCCTGGGTTCAATCCCCAGTGAAACCATCCTTTGAGAGTTATAGCCGAGATGATCAGATGATTCTCTGATCAGATTATTCTCTGTGTCAAGAACTAATGGAAATATAAACCAGTGTTAACAGTATTTGTGCTAATCTAAGCTAACCGTATCAAACGTGTCCAATTTTGCTCATTTTCAATGAGGCCTATATACCATGTAGTGTCTCTACTTCATGTCTCCATGCTTTAATGTTCAAAAAGCTCTTTATTTTTCTCATACTGCCTGTGCTGCAGCACCTCTTTTCACCCTCTGTCTGAAACCAGAGCCCAGTCTGCTCTGATTGGTTAGCTGTTGTGATCGGTCAACCGCTTAGAGATGTCACGCCCCTTAGCCTATCACGCACAATGTGTTGGAGCGCTAGCCAATAGATCACTATGTTCCTGAAGTAAATAAAGGAGTCCAATGGAGGCGTGGGGAGCGGGAGAGAAAAAACAGGAGTTCTAACCTTTGCAGACCATTTACATGCACACACACATATATGACACACTACAGGAAAGGGAAACCCCGTAAAAACAGGGCCCCTTTAATCCTTTCTGACACAAGATGGTCCTCAAACCTTTAACTGATAAAGGGGCCACCTCTGCATGCTGGCGGAGCACAGCGTGATTTCAGAGCTTTGTGAACACAGTTTCAACAACAGAATCAGGCTGGAGGGCCCTGGCGTTTTCAACTCCTGGTGTGCGCGAGTCATGGGGCCGAGCGCACGGATTAATGATCACAAATAGTTTTTGAAAGCATGAGCTCTCAATTATCCAGACTGGACACATGATCTCTGAGCCAGATCTCTGAGGAGTCTCTGCATGGAGTTTCTCCTGCAGCTTGTTGTGCTCTACGGAAACAATCAATTCATGCAATACGATACAGCTACTTGACCTCTGTGTTATCTGTTGTAGTAAACTGCGGAGTATCAGATGACTGTGAGGTTATTGATCTGTGATATCATATCCTATTGCAAGAAGAGCTACTGCCAGGGTCGATAAACCATGCAATAATCCACGATGTAGGAGAAGCGTGTGGTGCAGTGGGTTGTGCGTTGGTGTTCGGATCAGGGGGGCACAGGTTCAAACCCCACTGCAGTCAGCATGTCGTTGTGTCCCTGAGACACTTCACCCCAAATTGCTCCTGTGGGGATTGTCCACAGTATGGAAGTCGCTTTGGATAAAAGCGTCTAACAAATGACATGTAATGTAATATATAGGAAAACAGTCTCAGGTGTACACATGATAGACAAATACTAAAAGGGGCGGTTCACCCTAAATTAAAAACCTCCTACTTATAGTGCTATATGTTTTACAATAATGTACAACAATATCTGTTTTCCTTTTTTGGATTACTGCCAATTTCTATTCCATATTTTATTAAATTCCATTGCAATGTAAATACTTTATATTTTACTATATTTTGTATTATTTTTTATATTTTTCTACTTCTCTACCTGTGTTTTTAATTCTTGTTTTACTTGTATGTATGCACCACGACACCAAGTCAAATTCCACATACGTGTCAACCTACTGATTCTGATTCTGATTAATTTAGATTCTTTGGTGAGATTTTCACAGTTTTAAAGATAATTACAGTCCAATTTTCTACAATATATTGGAACTAGATGACACTTGGTTTGTGGTGCTTGAAGAAATACATAAAAAAAAACTCAACAGCAGTACTTATTTGCATCTTGACCTGGTTACTCAGGATAATCCTCTGAGCTTTTTGAAAGCAGTGTCACGTAATAACTATGTTCCCTCTACTGAACCAAACCATATCAATGTGCAAAAGGAAAGCGTAAATCTGCTCATGGGAGAGATGCTTGTTCTCCCTTTTGTACTTTGAAATACTGCTCGCATCAAGGCCTGTAGACTCTACAACCACATTTCTCTAACAAAAACGCAAAAACAATTCAACCTCGGTCAACAGAATGGGACATACTGTATGTATCCTAGATAGTGGGTTAAAATGTCCTTTCAAGTCTGGCACCCTCATTAAAATATGTGCAAGTCAAATCGGTCGTTATGCTCCTGGAAAGCAGCGGTGGTAATCACCATTTCAGATCACAATTTCCTCCCATGTAAAGCACATTGATGCTTCTTAAACTAATGACAGTCCTGTACCCACGGGCAAAGTGCTTCCCATTAGGGATGTCCCGATCACCTTTTTTTGCTCCCGATCCGATACCGATCATTTGATTTTGACAATTTGCCGATACCGATTTTTCCCGATCCGATCTTTATGCAATGCATTAAGAGAAAAAAAAGAAAAAAAGCATTCAAGTTGTCCCTTAAGGTTATTTTTTTATTTAAATTGGATATTCTATCCAACATGGATATAGCTTCTTTCTTTCACAGCAGCATTGGATCAGTTCAGTTGTGCAGCATTGGATCAAAACAAAATAAAGCTTATCAGTACTCGTTAGCTTACTGCTACTATTAGACACTTCGCCCACTCTGTTGCCAGATTTGAGAGAAATAAGCAACCAGGTCTATGAAAACAAGCCCCAAAGAAGCAACACATACATGATGTTCTGTAATTTGAAACCAAAACTAAGGCCTCAGAATGACTTTAAGACTTGAACATGGTCATTTTTGTTTTGTAACATTGAATACGAAATTTAAAAAAAGTATTTAAAAAAAA